AAGAAAACAAAGATTCTCACCACTGGGCCAATTGGCAGCATCAGTATGGATGGTGAAGAGATTGAGATAGTTAACAGTTTTAGTTTGCTTGGCTCCACAATCAGCACTCTTGGTAACAGCAGCCAGGAAATCAAGAGATGAATTGCACTGTGAAAGCTGGCTGTGAGGGACCTCTCAAGAGTACTGAAGAGCAACCATGTCAGGCTGGAGACTAAGGTGCACCTGATTGGGGCTGTAGTCTTTGCAATTACATGCTATGCATCAGAGAGTTGGACCGTGAATAGGGTTGACAGAAAGAGAATTGATGCCTTTGAGCTGTGGTGCTGGAGAAGACTGTTGAATATACCATGGACTGCTAGGAGAACAAACAGGTTTGTCCTAGAGAAGGTGAAGCCAGAATGCTCCTTGGAGTCAGGGATTCTGAAGCTTCGTCTGATATAGTTTGGGCATGTTGCAAGGAGGGACTGGTCCTTGGAGAGGGCCATCATGTTTGGCAGAGTGGAGGGGTGGCGAAGGAGAGGAAGACCTTCAATGAGATGGATCTATTCTGTGACTGGAGAGGTGGGAATAAGTGCGTTTGAGATGGCTAGGTCGGCACAGGATAGAACAGCGTTTAGAGCTCCTGTACATAGGGTTGCTGTGAGTTGCAAACGACTCAGTGGCACATAACAACAACAACAGCAACAGTATGACTCCAGTTTTTTATAATAGAAACCAAAATGATCTGTTTTGTCATTATCCTTTTGATCTTGAGGATATGAAATTGGAATATCATGAGGGATGAGGGACTAGAAATGTGATCTAGGAAACCAGCTACAAGAAGTAAATTAGTTCTAGTTCCCGTGCCCCATTTCTTCTCTTTAGAATCTTATATGTCTCTTATACTTAGCATCTTTGTTCTCTGACATACCCTTTAATGACATTCCTGATAAATTCAGTAGTGTTCTGCTTCTAAAACATTATAGTCTAGTTGACCAAAGAAGACACATTTGGAAGAGTTCATATTACCTCATCACATTAGTTTTGTCCATTAAAGAATTATCTATGATAGTAGAAGCCTGGATATTAGTTACCTTAAAAGAGGGGAGAGAGTAATAACTGGATGGAAGCCTAAGGGAATTTTTTCCTTTTTGCCTATAAATCCAGCAATCACAGTGCCTGATCTTACAGATCCCCACCCACAGGTTGTGGGAATACATGTTTCCCTTCGTGTTTTCTTGTGATTTGAGTGACACTTGGTGATATTTTTCAAGTCTATTCAGGGAGGATGGATATTTCCTTAATTTTTTCCCCTCTGGGACTTTTATGGTTGCCTGGTCCCAATTACTTTTTTTTTTTTTAAAGAATTTTAATTGATTTTAACAAAAATTTACAAAAAAAAAAATTACAGAAAAGTTGAATTTTTTTATTCCTTCATTGTTGCACATTTTTCTCCCTACTCTCCAGTTTCCTTAAAAAAATATTCATTGTTGTATAATTTCCTCCCTCCCCTCTCCCCTGTGCACTTTGCTCTGTACTTCTTATTCTGAACTTTTGTCATACAAATAATTCCTAATAATATATTCCTCTTTCCTTTATCTGTTCCAGTGCAGTGTTTATTTATCCCCTCTTTTCTTAATTTTCCCCTAACCCCCATTTCAGTCTTACTTCTTAAAAGTGGCATTATGCAATATTTGTCCTTTTATTTCACTCAGCATATGTCCTCGAGAGTCACCAATGTTGTCTAATATTTTGAGTTCCTTGTTTTTCAGTTCTGCGTAGTATTCCGTTGTGGGAATATACTGTAATTTTTCCATTAATTTCTTTATGTGCACTTTGATTGCTTCCATCTCTTTGCCATTGTGACTAACGCAGCAGTAAACGTGAGTGTGCAAACGTCAGTGTGCATATATTTGTTTGGGTGACAGCTTTGGTTTCTTTAGGGTATAAGTAGAGAAATTTCTGGGTCATATGATATTTCTATTTCCAGCTTTCTAGGAAACCACCATACTGCCTTCCATAACGGTTGCACCATTTTACACTCCTACCAGCCGTGAATTAGGGTTTAATTTCACTAAAACCTCACCAAGATTTGTTGTTTGCTGCTCTGTTGAACTTTGCTATTGTTACTGGGGTGAGTTGATAAGTCATAGTTTTTATTTGCATCTCTCTTAGACCTAGGGATTTTGAACAATTCTTCGTGAACAAGTATGTAATAGAACTACCTTGTTTTTCTGTGTCTTGCACATTTTCAGACTTTGTCATGATACAGTCCCATCATTTTTCTATAACTTATTTTAGTGGAAAATATTTGTGTTTTTTTTTCTTTGATAGGTTTCTGTCTTATACTGGCTGGGTCTGGCTTTTGCAGTTTTACTGTAGTTGGATATTTTGGGAAATACCCTAACTCATAATCTTGATAATTCCCATTATGAGGATGACACATGATAAGACAGGGTTCAGACCTGTTGTTCCTAGGGTTATTATTATTGGTCATACTTGACTTGATGGTACCCAACAACAACAACAACAACAACAACTAAATCTTGATAATGTAGAATATTGTTTACCGGGTGAGGAAGAAGAGATATTGAAGGCTTATAGAGGATGGGTACAAAGTAAAAGAGAAGTAGCATCAGTATTTTATATTATCTGTATTTTCGCGTTCTTTTTAGAAACATGTTCTTTGCTCTTATTATAATCATATAAAGAACAACTTAAAAGGTACTTTTTTAACGTAATATATAAAGTGCTGTGTTAGCATACATATTAAAAAAATTATAACTATAACTTTGTATCACAAGTTCTATGACTTTGAGTGGCTTCTTCCCCCTCAGTGTCAGACACGTAATGTGCGAATGACTAAACAAGGCTCGAGAGGCATATGTCATACAAAAGCATTATGAACTGAAAAAGGATATATGTATGGCATATAAAGAGGGAAGTAAAGGCATCTCATTCACTTAATGTTATCAAGTCACTTCCAACTCCTAGCAGCCCTTCATCAGGTTTCTGTAAATCTTTATGAGAAATACTGCTTCTCTTTTTTCCTAATTGCAGCTGCTAGATTTGAACTGCCAGTGACACAGCCTTTGTGTTAGCATCTCAACACTCTACAGACTATGCCACCAGAGTTTCTACTTCTCACCTATAGAATTGTTTTATTTGACGTTTTACTTTTATGACAATAGTGAACAATCAGACTGTTTTACTCATTAATGACATGTCAACACTCTTGACAACCAGCAGCCAGGAAATTAAAAGACGTATTCCAATGGGAAAGTCTGCGGTTAGAAACCTCTCTAAAGTGCTGAAGTGCAATGATGTCAGTCTGGAGACTAAGGTGCACCTGATATGTGCCATTGTCTTTGTGATCACTTGCTATGCATTGGAGAGCTGGCCAATGACTAGGGATGATAGAATGAAAATTGATGCCTTTGAGCTTTGGTGTTGGAGAAGAGTATTGAATATACCATAGACTGCTAGGAAAACAAACAGGTTCAGCCTGGAGAGGGTGAAGCCGGGCTGCTCTTTGGAGGCAAGGATTCTGAAGCTTTGTCTGACATACTTTGGACATGTTGCAAGGAGGGACTAGTCTTTGGAAAGGGACGTCTTGCTTGGGAGCGTGGAGGGACAGCCCAGGAGAGGAAGACCCTCGATGAGATGGGTTGATTCAGTGACTGGGATAATGGGACCAGGTGTGTTGGAGATGGTGAGATTGGCACAGGGTAGGGCAAAGTTTAGGGCTGTTGTTCATAGGGTCGCTGTGAGTTGCAGGTAACTCAACAGTGCATAACAACTGACAGTAACAAAACCACAATACAAGGGGAAAGTAAAACTGTTAAGATTGTTTGTCAACTTGACTGGATCAGGATGCTCAGTGGTTTGACAGTTATGTAGTGAAAGAATTTTAAGAGTTATATTTTGATATAGCCACCCCCCATTTTATGGAGGAGTCATACTTTATTTTTCCTCACTTCTTTTTCTTTTTTTAAAAAAATAATAACTAGGTCTTTAGAACTAACCATCTCAATAAGTGAGTAATGGGTGGTTTTACATAATTAAAAGTGCGTTCATTGTAAATTTGTTAAAATGTCATCTTGTGAACCTTCTACCTTGCTTTTCCTTTGTCCGCTAATAATGAATATTATCATGGATTTCATTGCACACTTTAACACCTTTTAATAAGGAATTTGTTTCTGTCTTAAGTTATTGAGCAAGAAATATAAAATAGTGTTTTTAAATCTGATTAATAATGTAGAGGTTTAATAGAATGCTTTTTGTACATTAGGAAAGATGATAAAAACCTCTTTTTAATTCTTTTTTTCTCTGAAGGATGTGGTGACTGGACTTAGTCCTCTGCTCTTCAGGAAGCTAAGTAATCCTGACATATCTTCATCCACTGGAAAAGCTAAACTTCAACGACAGCTAAGTCAAGATGACTGTAAGTTATGGAGGGGAAGCTTGGCCAGTTCTCTGTCAGGTAAATAATTTTTTTTTAATAAATGTGAGATCAATAAGTAGTGTCATGTTAAACAAAAAATTCTTGATAACTTTGGATTCACTACCGATGTCTGTGGAAGAAACAATTAAGAAATCACACATATTTATTGCTCAGGGCAAACCTGCTGCAAAAACTCTTTGTTTTCATTCTCAAGAAAGGTGATTCAGTAGAATGTGGAGATTATGAAACAGTATCATTAATATTTCTGGTTCGTCTAACATACTTAGGGCATGCTGCAAGGAGAGGGACATCATGCTTGGAAGGGTGGAGGTACAGTGCAAGAGAGGAAGACCCAAGGGAGCTCTGATGGCCTAGTGGCAATAAGCTACATTGCAATTCCAGAGATACACGGTTTGAATCCACCAGATGCTTTGCTGGAGAAGGAAGGACAATCTCCTGTACCAGTCAGATCCAATTTGACGGTACACACACACAAAAAAAATAATAAAAAAAAAGAGAGAGAGAGAGAGAGAGGAATACCATTGATGAGATAGAGTGCTTCAGTGACTGGGGTAAAGAAGGTAGGTGTGTTAGAGACAATAAAGTTGACATGGAATAGAGCAGGGTTCAGTGCTATTGTACATAGTATTGCTATGAGTCACAAGCGACTCGATGGCACATAGCAACAACATCATTAATGTCACATGCAAGCAAAATACTGCTGAAGATCATTCTAAAACAGGTAGAACAGTACATGGAGAACTTCCAGAAGTTCATGCTGGCTGTAGAAGAAGCTATGGCACTGGGAATATCATTGCAGATGTCAGATGGATCCTGGGTGAAAGCAAAGAATATCAGTGGAATGTCTATTTCTGATTTCTTGACTATGCAAAGGCTTTTGACTTTGTGGTTGTTATGTGGCATCAGATCACTTGTGACTCATAGTGATCCTGTGTACGTACAGTAGCTCTGAATCTTGCCCCATCCTAAGCCACTCTTACTGTTTCTGACATACCTATCCTCATCTGAGGTCTTCTTCTCCTGTGCTGTCTTTCCACCCTTTCAAGCATGATGCCCTTCTCCCTGTACTGTTCCCTCCTGGCCACATGCCCAATTTCTGTGAGATGGAGCTTCAATATTCTTGCCTCTGGCGTTTCCTCAAAAAGCTGAACATAGAAATTTCATATGACCCAGCTAGTCCACTGCTTGGAATATACCCTGAGAAAATGAGAACTGAGACACAAATGGAAACTTGTACATCAGTGTTCATAGCAGCATTATTCACCATTGCAAGAAAATGGAAACAGCCCAAATGTCCAATCCCAATCCAACGGATTGAGAAATTATGGTACATTCACACTATGGAATACTACACAGCATGCACTAACAATGATTTTGTAAATCACTACCTAACTTGAGAAGGACTGGAGAGCATTATGTTAAGTGAGCTAACTCAGTGTCATAAGGAGAAATACTGTATAAGACTATTATTGTACAAAGTGTATGAGGATCCAAAGGGGTGGGGGGGAGCAGGGGCATGAAGATGCGTGGAGGGTTGGGGAGTATTAACCATAGGGTCACACAATTTGACGGGAGGAGTGAGGGATGGGTAAAGGAAATGGGAAAGATCTGGTGTGAAAAACAATGTATATGAACTTTTGTAAGCAAATCAATGTAAAATTTTATTTAAAAGTAAAAAAAAAAAAATCTTTGCCTCCAAGGAGCAGCCTGGTTTCACCTTTCTTAGATAAACCTGCTTCTTCTTAATGTCTTCCTTCTCCATCTGTTATGGTGCTACCAATTGCCCAGTGGTAAGAATCTTTGTCTCTTTTTTTAATTTAAATTTTTTTAAAATTAATGAGTTTTTTAATGCAACATAATGTCAAGAAGACAAAGATTCTCACCACTGGACCAATTGGTAGCATCAGAATGGATGATGAAGAGATTGAGATTGTTCAAGCTTCAGTTTGCTCGGCTCCACGGTCAACACTCTTGGCATCAGCAGCCAGGAAATAAAAAAAACATTGCGATGGGAAAGTCTGCAGTTAGGGACCTCTCTAAAGTACTCAAGAGCAACGGTGTCTCTCTGGAGACTAAGGTGCGCCTGATACAGGCCATGGTCTTTGCAATCACTTGTTATGCATCAGAGAGTTGGACAGTGACTAGGGAGGAGAATTGATGCCTTTGAGCTGTGGTGCTGGAGAAGAGTATTGAATATACCATGGACTGCCAAGAAAACAAACAGATTCATCCTGGAGAGGGTTAAATCAGGCTACTCCTTGGAGGCAAGGATTCTGGGGCTTTGTCTGAAATACTTTGGACATGTTGTAAGGAGAGACAGGTCCTTGGAGAGGGACATCATGCTTGGTAGGGTGGAGGGACAGCCCAGGAGTGGAAGACCCTCTATGAGGTGGATTGATTCAGTGACTGGGGTAATCGGGATGGGTGTGTCAGAGGCAATGCGATTGGCACAGGATAGAGCAGGGTTTAGGGCTGTTGGACATAGGGTAGCTATGAGTCGCAAACGACATGATGGCATATAACAACAGCAACAACATCATATATTTTTTACAGCATATTCTTCCATTTAATTTTTTCTGCATTCATTCATTGTTCAACATTTTCGTCCATGCCTACCCCTCCTCCCCAGTTTTTCTCTTTGAAGAAAAAAAAAAATCTTTCATTGTTTGAGCTTCAATCCATTCTGAAGCCTGTTTTCCTTGACCTCCAGCAGATGCTTCAAGTCCTTCTTGGTTTCTGTGTGCAAGTTTGTGTCATCGTCATAAAATATGTTGATGAGTCGCCCTCCAATCCTGATGCCATAATCTTCTTCATAAAGTCCAGCCTCCTGAAAAATATGTTCCATACAGTGTTGAATAAGAGTGATGAGAAAGGTTTTCCTTGTTTGGTTTCCATTTACGAGGGAAATGCCTTCAATCTCTGTCCATTGAGAGTAATGTTTCCATTGATTCTGTATATATGATTTTAATTATGCTGAGGAATTTCCCTTTAATTCTTATTTTATTGAGCTTCTTTTTATGAAGAAAGGATGTTGAATTTTGTTAAGCACCTTTTCCACATGTTGTTGTTATGTGCCGTCGAGTCGCTTGCATCTCATACCTACCCTACGTACAACATCCCAAAACCTTGCTCTATCTTATGCCAGTTGCACGGCCTCTGACACACCCATCCCTATTACACCAGTCACTGAATCAATCCACCTCATAGAGGGTCTTCCCCTCCTGTGCTGTCCCTCCACCCTCCCAAGAATAATGCCCCTCTCCAAGGACCGGTCCCTCCTTACAACATGTCCACAGTATGTCAGACGAAGCCCCAGAATCCTTGCCTCCAAGGAGTAGCCTGGTTTAACCCTCTCCAGGATGAATCTGTTTGTTTTCTTGGCAGTCCATGGTACACTCAATACTCTTCTTCAGCACCACAGTTCAAAGGCATCAATTCTCCTTCTGTCATCCATAGTCGTGATCCAACTCTCTGATGCATAACAAGTGATTGCAAAGACCATGGCCTTTATCAGATGCACCTTAGTCTCCAGAGTGACACCATTGCTCTTCAGTACTTTGGAGAGGTCCCTAACAGCAGACTTTCCCATCACAATACGTCTTCTAATTTCCTGGTTGCTGGTCCCAAGGTGTTTACTGTGGAGCCAAGCCAACTAAAAGCTGGGAACAATCTCAATCTCTTCACCATCTACCCTGATGCTGTCACTTGTTCCAGTGGTTAGAATCTTTGTCTTCTTGATATTGAGCCTCAATACATATTGAAGGCTGCAGTCCTTGACCCTCTGCAGCAAGAGTTTCAGGTCCTCCTCAGGGTCAGCAAACAGGGTTGTGTCATCTGTATAGCTGCATAACACAGATTGTTGATAGATCTTCCACTAATCCTGACTCCGTACTTCTCCTCATAGGGCCCAGCGTCCCGGGTAATCTGTTCTGCATACAGGTTGAAAAGGTATGGAGATAGGGCACATCCCTGGTGTACACCCTTCCCAATTTTGAACCGTGCAATGTTTCCTTGCTCTGTTCTGACAACTGCCTCTTGGTCCAAGTATAGATTTCTCATTAGAACTATCAAGTGTTCTGGGATTCCCATTCTTCTCAGAGTCAGCCACATTTTGTTATGATCCACACTGTCAAACACCTTTGCATAATCAATGAAACATAGATAAACAGTCCTCTAATCATGTGATTATTTTCCTTTGTTTTACTTATGTGGTGAGTTATGCTGCCTGTTTTTCTCATGTGCAACCATCTTTGCATGTTGATGTTGATTACCTTTGAGTCGAGCACGACTCATAGTGACCCTATGAACAAAAGGCCTTAAGGCCCTCTGTAACTATCAACATTTATCAAAGTTCATAGAGTTCCCAGAGGCATGTAATTTAGAAAGTAGATACCACTTCTGCTTCCAAACTTGACATAGTGTGTTATTGTTGTTATGTGCCATTGAGTCACCTGCGATGCATAAGACCCTTTGTATAGCATCTCTGACTCTTTCCCTGTCCTGAGCCAGTCTCACTAATTCTGACACACCAACCCCCATTGCCCCAGTTACTGTAATTTATCTCATCCATGGTCTTCCTCTTCTGTGCTGTCTGTCCACCCTTCTTCTAAGCATGATGTCCTTCTCCAAGGACGAATCTCTCCTGGACACATGCCCAAAGTATGTGAGATGAAGCTTTCTAAGACAGATCTGTTTGTTTTTTGGCAGTCCATGGCATGTTCAAGATTATTTTCCAGCACCACAATTCAAATGCATTTATTCTTCTGTCATCCTTAGTCATTGTCCAACTCTCTGAAGCATTACAAGTAATTGAGAAGCCTGTGGCCTGGATTAGGTGCACCTTTATATCCAGACTGACATTGTTGCTCTTCACTCTGGGTAGGTCCATGACAGCAGATCTTTCCAGTGTAGTTTGTTTTTTTATTTCTGACTGCTGGTGTTAAGGAAAGGATGTTTAATTTTGTTAAGTGCCTTTTCCACACAGATTAATATAAGCGTGTTTTTTCCACCTTTGTTTT